TGAGGTTGTCAGTGAAAATAGAAAATGGACGGAAAGCCACGTGCTTCGTCTGTTACGTCATTTTCTCAGGACACAACGTGCACTTCCAGACGACTCGCAGCTCCGGCTAACATCCACCGGGCGCTGGGGCTGGATTCTGACTCCAAACCACCGGTGAAGCTGTGTGATTTTCACCTTGACCTGCACCTTGCAGCAGAAAGCTACAACATGGATGCTGGCTAGAAAGGAAAGACGGTGGTACAAGAGAGGGAGTACAGGGAAACGAGCGGCCCACTGGAAATGCCTCGTGACACTTTGGCCCAACGACAAACCTAACCGATCACCCTGGGCTGACGTCTCGATCACGTTGGAAGGAAGCTTACAGTGAAACAGATTTCCTTCTCAGCAGGTTGGGCGTTGTCAGGTTGCCTCTTTTTGACTCGGTCGAAAAGGGACGCGGTCTTTGTTTACCACCTGTCTCACCACCGTGCTTCCTGGTTCCAGAGCCAATCATATGCTGGCAAAAGGAAGCAGCGTTGGGGCCAGAATGTTAGTAAAAGAGCGACCCAAGAGCTACTCTACGATTGGGTAAAGCAGGCTGAGGCTAACATGAGCTAACAATACTAACAGTGAATTAGAAACAAATAGGCAGCGCTAAAAACATCTCAAGCTACTTTTTCAATGACCAAGTACTTTTTTACAGTGTATCTACTCGAGAACTTCCTGTGCATGACCCGTCTTGGCATCTAGGACCTTCTGGTGCCGATCCGCACCGGCAGCAGTTAGCTCAGAGCGGACTTGTTTGTTTTGATGACTGCAGTACCCACATTCAACCACCGGGTGTCGTTCTTACTTCGTGCACCTTTAACAAGGCAACTTTTTATGAAGGCACATTTATAAATATGAATTTCTTGAGTCAGTTAAATTTTGGGATGAAATTGTAATCTGATGGATTTAAATGAGTAGGATTGGCACTTGTAGCGCACCTGTCAGCGTCAGAGGACTCCAAAGCACTTTACCCTACAGAAAATCCACCGTGTCACGATTTTGAACCTCATAGACAAACCAGATGATTAGATGAATGCAGACTGTGGCCTCCTGCTGAGTAGACGCCTAAAAAAGAAAATCCACTGAAAGCGTACGCCTTAGTTTCCTTCATCATACTAATGCTGGCAGTGAAAACTGACAAAGATAACGAGATTTCAGACGTGCAGAACCACACTGACACTAACGCACGTGACCGACCCAGAGCAGTGGCGTACACTCGGGGCTCAGCGAGGCACTTTCTTTATTTTCCGTCTGGGAATCAGATAGGAGCCAGACGAAGTGCCGTATGACACGGCGTGAGTCCGGCGTGTCACTTCTGAGGAGATAAGGTGACAGCGCTTCTGTATTATCTGTGGCCAGATGCTAAGCCGGTAAATGGAGGCCAGAGAAGGAGCGCACGGCGGGTGGAGGTGTAATGTTGGCTTAATGTTGACAGAGGAGACTGCAGGAGAATCAGAGCGAGGGCGGACTGGGAGGAGAGAGCGAGAGGATAAAAAGGAAGATTTCTAAATGTCACGGTAGAGGGGAGAGGACAGAGACGCGCTAATAAAGTCAAGGAGGAGCAGAGGGACGGAAAACAGCCCAAAGCAACTTGTTCCCAACAAGAGAGTGGGGCAGAGTGAAGTCGGCGGGGCAGTCGGGACTTCTCTGGTTTCACCTCCTTTCACCGTCTGTCCCCCTCCCCTCGTCCCCTGCTGCTGTGGGACGAGGCGAGCAGGAAGCTGTCAGGAAAAGAGGAGGAGAGACTTCAGAGGAGTTTTTTCTTCCGTGCTTTCATCTCAACACCTCAGCTCGTGGCTCATGCCGAGTTCCTCTGACTCTGAATGAAACCTCCTAAAAGAGTCTTCCTACTTTTTTCTTTTACATCATCTGTCCGCCTCTCTCTTTCTCTCTCTCTCTCTCTCTCTCTTTCTCTCTCTCTATCTCTCTCTCTCTCTCTCTCTCTCTCCCCCCTCTCTCTCTCTCTCTCTCTCTCCCCCTCTCTCCCTCTCTCTCTCTCTCTCTCCCTCTCTCTCTCTCCCTCTAAATCAGACTTACTAGTCGCCAGCTTGAATGAAAGAACGTTGATTTCTGCAGGAGCCTTTTGTTGCCGCTGACCCCTCGGTCCCATCGCCCTGCGCCGCTGATTAACACACTCCTGACTCAAAGCAATTACCTCAGCAGCTAGTCATCAAGTTTGATACAAACCTGTTAAAAGCCCTTCGATTTCAACCAGTTGTTGGAGCAGGAAATTACCTAAAACATGCCGGGAGGAAACTTAAGTGGTGGTCAAATAAAGAAAAACTGCTTCAAACTAATTATATTTGACTTTATTTAGATTAGACTTTATTTAGATTAGACTTTATTTAGATTAGACTTTATTTAGATTAGACTTTATTTAGATTAGACTTTATTTCTGCACACATCACCACAGAGGGTTGCATCCTGTCCACGAAAACGCATCAGACCAGGCTGAAGAGCATTTACATGAGATCGGGGGCGACGGTGGCACACGTGCTTGCCCCGTAATGGGAAGGTTGCAGGTTCGAGCCTCGCTCGGCCTGTTGCTGTCGTTGTGTCCTTGGGCAAGACACTTAACCCACCTCGCTGCTGGTGGTCGGAGGGGCCGGTGGTGCCTGAGTGTGGCAAGCCTCGCCTCGCCTCTGTTAGTGGAGCTCATCACCACCAGGGTGTGAATGGGTGCATGACGTTGTTGTAAAGCGCCTTGGGGGGTTCCAGGACTCCAGAAGCTGCTATATCGAATACAGACCATTTACATGATGTTGAGTTTGAGTTTAAAATTAACACAAGAAAAAAAACGGATCCAGAATAAATTCTGGAATAAATAAATGAATAATCTATTTTTGAGGAATGACCCTTGATCTTTGTCAGTGTTGGGTTGTTTAATGTATTTATAGTGAGTTTAATATGTTCGGCTTTTAAAAATGCAATGAAGATTTTAACATTTTCTACTTTTAATAATTTATTCATTAGGGTTATAATTTAATACAAGATATTAATACTAAATAAAATAATAAGCATCGTTGCCGTTCCACAAAGGTTTCTGGTTGGTGAACTCATCGTTGCTGCACGATCCTTCAGCCTAGAAATAATAGATTTTAGAGTCAAAATATCAAGACTAGTCAGAAATTAAACATAAGGAGATGAATAAATTGTGTTTTGTTATTTCAGCTCATTGGGCAAAATTTGTTTCAGCAGATCAACGCTGAGAAATGTTCTGAGTTCAAATCTCAAAACTAAAAACCGACGAAGATTCAGAACAAAGAGCCAGACGTCGTGAAAAATAATAAACACTTGATAAATGACATGCAAAAAGAAAACATGATAGTTATCATGTGCTTCAATGCATCGTGGGAATACCGTTCCACATTTAAAAGCATCGCGTCAGCTGACCAAACACAAAACAGAAAATGTTCTTTTTTTTATTTCCAGAGGTAAAACTCGACCGGGACGTCGTGTCATGGGTGGAAGGAAAAGATCTTCTTCTGCAGACGTTTTAAACATGATTTCATGTCTGCAGCCAAGCACTTATTTATTGATTTAGCTTTAAAGGGACTTTACGGAGTTTTGAATTTTTATGCTCGCGATCGCCCCCTCAGGCCAAAAGTGTAAGGGCAGCTTCAATAGTAGGCTCGTGCATGAGGCGCGCATGCTGTACGTGCACACTCCTTAACGAAAATAACAGCTGAAACAGTCCCGTGTGTGTGTGTGTGGGGGAGGACAGATGACAGGAGAACGCGCAGCTGATTAATTAAATAATGTGGTTCTGTACCTTTCTCTTCAGCACAGCCGACAAAGGTTTATGATGGGTCAGTCCTCCTGCATGCTCAGATCATTCCCTTCCCTTGCTTGAAAAATTGTTCCAAAATGAAAGTTGAACCCACATCTTTTTTATCTGTGAATTCAATGCCGTTCGGCGAGTCTCAAATAAAAATTTGGGCATCTTACTGTAAAAAAATATACCATTAATGTAAAAAAGAATCTCTAAATAAACTATGTTCACATCCAGAATCAAACCCAGGTCTTCTGCATGGGAGTCAGACGTCTTACAGGGTGAGCTAAAGCGCCAGTGACGTCTTTTGTATCTAACATTTATATCGTTGATGACAGCTGAAACAACGTCAAACCAAAGAACGGTTCGGAGTGAAAATGGCTATTTTGTTGCTAATTAGCAGGAAATATCTAGAAGAAAGTTCTACAGAAAGTAGCTAAGGGTCCTCAGAAATGTAGCTAGCTTTGTCACTAGGCGTTAGGAACAGCGACAAAGTGGCACTGCCTCTCTCTCTGCTGCTAAAGCTACGGATAGCAAATGCTACGGGCGATGCCTGAGCGTGAACGCGCATGAAGCAGCCTGCTCGACCCGAGCATCTCACTTTTTCTGTGATTTTACAGAAAAACAGGCAATCACAGCAAAAATGCCAGGGCTCATTCTACAGGACCAGGGCATTGCAGGAGAACGTATGAAGAAGACATTTATTATTTCTATACATGTTTTGGCTGTCAGACTTCCATATAGTCCCTTTAACACCAACTTCCAGTAAATTTGGATTTTCAAGACAAAATCTGCCAAATTGTGACTTGCGTGGTCCCATGTGATGTCAGACTGCACCAAAAATGACTTTTACATGAAAAAAGTCTAAATAATGTGTGATGCGATGGATTTGCTTTAACTAGTGAAATGTGACAGATATTAGCTGTGACCTCTAACTGCACAGCTGTGTTCAGACCAGGCGTTACCATGGCAACTGGGGTCAGGGATTACTAGAAGGCTAGATTGAGAATAAGTGGTCTATAATAAGAAGGGAGGAGGCCTAGCATACGAAGGGGTGTTCCGCGTTATTCAGACAAAGAAAAAAACGTCTAACGAGGAGAAGGGGTCACCGAGCCAATCAGCAAGAACAAGATCAGAGCGGGCAGCACACGACGAGGCGAGAGCTGCTGGATCTCTGCAGCACCGTGACCTTTATCCAACA